TTTTTTTGTTATTAGCTGAAGGCAACCGCACACCTTTCTTCAGCATTCAGGCATATCGTTGTTTATTGCCGCGGCTGAGCTTAATGGTGTCTCTGTTACAGCGGGCTTTGGTTGAACACGAGACGTACCTCAAAAATAAAAAAAAGAGAAACAAAAAAGGCGAAGGGCTTTCACCCTCTCAGTGAAGCCAGAGAATCCGTCATTGTGGTTGGCACACACGCCGAGTGCAACCAAAAGAAGTGCGTTCAGGCAGCCTGAGCCAGTGTATTCGAAAACGCAGCCCTCAAGAGAATGCAGGTTCACGACCGTGGGAGAGCAGAACAGAGCTGGAGAAGCTCGACGGTCGAGAAACGTGCGTGTTGACGTTGACGTCTACATCGCTGCCACTCGTATGTGAGGCCGGCATGCCGAGAATGGCCGTGCGATATCTACTGTTCACCCTTGTATCACGGGGTGTGCTTTCATCGTACAGGATACGACCTGGATGATCCCCCGCGAGGAACCCTTGATTGCGCGTCGTGTGCGAATAAGGGAATAGCAGTGCTGGTCCTTCGTGGTAGTTCAAACGTGCACATGCACGGAAAGGGCAAGTAAAATTCATTGCAATGATCGCAGTGAGAGGCCTTAAATCAGCGCAGTCCCTTGCCAGCCACTTTTGCCGATTCCATGGAAGCACGACGTGCGAAGGCAGAGTTTTGAAGACAGAATAAAAAAAAAAAGCTGTTTATTTTGTTATGAAAATAAGAGGTGGCGGCAAGCATCAGAAGTTCAGCATCTAGGAATAAGTACAATAATAACAGCTTTCACTTATCACTGATATCGTGAACTACATCAGATAATTTTATGAAGGCTCTGTGCCATTATTCCTGCTTCTTTTACATCGCCTCACAAAACTTGATCCAAACGAAAGGAACGTATTGGCAAATTTATGGCGATATCTTATTGTGTTCGTATGTAACGCTTACTTTCGCTTTTTTAAAACTGACAAAACATATGAAGAGCTCAATACGTTCGTGGCCGGGCGGATTTTCTGTCGAAAACGGCAGATATTTCAACCACACAGTGAACGATTTTGATTCGTTTTAAACAATTCAAATCACAAGATTGACTTCCGTATGCATGGATGTTGTGTTATTTTACTGACAATTGAGTGATGTTGGGGAGATGTCTAAGCAAACAAAAAATAAAGAAACAAATATTGCGCTTTTGAACACTGTTGCTTGTTCTCTCTGTTTAGTTACATTGTCCGCGCAAATGCATTCGGTCGCATTGTTCAAGAACATGAACCTACTGAAAAACATATAGCGTACCAAGGAGCACATAGCAAATAAAGAACGTTGCCTATCTTGAGGTAAATATTGGTTACCTATACAAAAACCGCGGCAATGATTGAAAAAAAAAAAGCTTTGCTTAAAATAAGCAATTATAAGGCAATGGTATTTGTTTGTTGGTTATGTCAATACCTTGTATTGCTCTTAGTCACCGAAAAAAAAAGCACGCTTCAATTTTAGTGAACTGTTAAAGAACATCATAGGTATCAGAAAATGCGGGTAAATTCAGAATAAAAATTGTCGTTTTTCACTCAACAATCCTACTTTTTACCCCTCAATGTTTCCGCACCTGTGTGTTGTTGATGTCTATATTGACCATATCTACCTCGTATGAGTTAACTTGCTCCATTCCATGCCACGAAATACAGAGGTACATATAAAAAAAACAACGGCGTCGTCATACATCAGAAAGTTCAATAGACAACAAGTAAAATTGCCAATAATGAACCAGTCTAGTGTCAAAACATCAGAGCTCTACTGCACCGGAAAGGGTTCATGCTCAAATTCTTATTGATGGTATACATTATCCCTTTTGAGGTTCGTTAACGTTAAGGTAAATTTCTATAAGATTTCAAGATTTCTATTGGCGATTTTCAAGAGTAACTCTCGGGTGTTTCTTGAATGCGAATTTCTACAACACCAGTGAAAGAGGCAAGTTATTTGAATAGCGTGCTATATTTATGAATATGATGCATTTTATGTTTAGTTGAAAGGGAAACACGGCTCTGTGGTTTGAAAAGGTTAATGAGACTTTCAATATATTCACTAAAATTGTGCCTAAGAAACAAACTAAAGCTACTAGAAAGCTTTTGAAACGTGAATAACGACTTTGTTACGTAAAAATTTGTGGACGCAAACTACCATGGATGAACAGGCATAAGGAAGAGCGTTAAAATACATAACCTTGACAAGCCTTTCCAGTCTACTGCTAGCAAACGAGATTCGGGGCACAATATGTCTGTTAAAGTGACTTAGTATACTCCCCTCGTAGGATCCCTTTGTTATATATGAGGAAACATGCAGACGTTACCAAATATTTGCTTCATTTTCAAGGGGGTGGTTATGCGTTCTCGGTAGTTGGTGTGGGTCTATTTTATTCAGTGACGCATGTGGAAAGTTCAAAGCGTGGAAAGATGGCATTGCAGATGATGGCATTTTGGCATTTCAGAGCAGTGCGGGTACCTCCGTCGATAACTTCATGACACTTCTATACTTTTATTTGTGTTTGAAATTTGTCTGTGTTCGACGAAGGGGAGACATTTTCAACGTAACGATATATGTATCGACTCGTGTGTAACGCCCGTGCTGTGCAGTTTGTATGTGGCTTCGTTTGACGTAGTGTCAGCTCAGGCTTTTCATAATGCAAATTTGAGCAGAGTGGACAGGCATGTAGACAACTTCTTCATAGTTTCAAATGCTAAACCAGTTTCAACCCTGACCAACTTCATGAAGAGAATCCTACAGAAATTTTGACAACATGCGAAAGGGCTGTCCTTCACGCATGAGATACATGCATACGAGACATTTCACTTTTTATACTTGAGCCCCACTTTGGCGAAGGAGCACAACTGCTGGTCTTCATTCGGGCAAAGAGCTGATTTCCTATCACGCTGATCAATCAAAAGCAGTTAAAGAAGGTATTGCTTTATAGTGCTCATAAAGTGCATAGGCTGTCTTGCCCTCACAGAATACCGGAGAGATTTGACAACGAGACGAGGTCAGCCAGCTGAATTCAGTTGGCTATTTTCGCTGGGTCATTACGGTAGCTGCTGGATCTCTGATTTGAAAGGCTAAATGGAAAAAGAAGGAATGTCAGCGGTTTCAAAAAAAAAAGACCAGTAGTTGTCCCGTATGCCCACGAGATTGTACATAACCTTAATGAGGTGGACAATAGGTACAAAGTACCTGTGATGTATCCTCCGCCAAAGAAAGAAGAGAAAACAAACACGACAGGCCTGTGCCCACATACTTTAAGAAGACCCACGCCTGCCTCCTGTGGTAAGAGGCATGCGAGGCCCTACGTCACCTGTGCGATGGGAGTGGTCTATGAAATTCTGCTTTCCTGTAAATGGGCCTACATCGGCCAAACCGGCCGATGCGGAAACAATAGAGTGAAACAGCATGCTGGTTCAACCAAAAATAACGTTTTCGCAGATTTTCCTATGCAGTGCAGGGCGTCTGAATGTGAGCAGGATTTGCTCATCAGCATTCTAGGCAGAAGCAAGGAGGTGATTGAGCGAGAGATGATACAAGCGTATACTTGATCTGAGAGAAAAAGAGATGCTAGCAATATTGATATGTTCGATGTACTGCGTCCACTTTAACTTGATTTTTTGACAAGGTTCAGAACAAGCAGGTGCTCCGAGTGTCGAAGTGTGTGATCTGACGTATGGTGCGTTTTCGCGCATGTTTGACATGAATATATTGCGGTGGTTTCGCAAGAACGCAAGAATAATGTTGCAAGTTGATCCTCTTTCTTTTTGCCTCATCTTGCGTGGTGGTTTGCTTCAACTAATTTTCGCGTAACATGTCCTAATTAACCCAACAATAAGTTCTATAAACGATTTTGCGCAGGATGCCCTGTCAGCTGTAAGTCAATAATGCAGTTGTCTCGACCAGCATGATGTTGCTAGCTTATATAAAAAGTCACTTCCAGGTGTGAGCAACTACATAATTTATCGTTGTTACAAGCGATAAAGTTAGAGTACATGCATGAACACCAGCCCAAGCGTTTTCGTAAGTCAGAAAAAAATTTCAATAACCTTCAGCGTTCACAGAACATAGGTTAGCTGTGAGTGTGCCAGAGTACTTTCCGATCGAAGGTGACTTTATGACTATGATGAACCTTAAGTTTGGTCTATACAGCAGCTCCTGCTTTGTAACGTGGAATAGGGTGCTTGAAAAGATGTCACAGCAGAGTTGTTTCCTCGTATTGCCACTGACGTGTCACCACAATCGCCCATAATATGACGTCTGACATCGCACTGGCCAACGGCAATGAGATGTAGCCACGATAATAAATTCGAAGTTTCTTTCCTGCCATACATTATTGGGGTAGTAATGATGTTCGCATTAGTTTTTCATGCTGTCTACGGGACTGCAAGGTATCCACCTTAACAGCATAATTTTTGTCGTGTGAATGCGGAGGAATGTTACGCCACACAAGAAGCTCAGTTGTAATGAGGCACTCCTGTGGTTAGAAAATCACCCGCGAAAAGCCTTTGACCATTCTATTCGTGGGTCTCCGTCTTCGATGTCGACCACTGGTGATTTGATAATGAAACATGTTTGCGATGCACTTGGTAACCAACAAATCCCCAATTCGTTGTACATTCGCATTTGTGCAAATAAATGGAAATGAAAAGATTGTTTCGTAAGTTGAATATTAGAGACAGGAGCACTGCAAGTGGCACTGCGTTTCCGCGGCCTTCTGCTTGAGCGAAATTAGACGATAATCCGATAATGAAATATTTTGGAACGCATCTGCTACGTAGAGAATAGCGATCCTGTTTATTCACCAGATGCTTTGGTGTGATGAGCTGTCATGTGTTGGTGGTGAATTAAATGTACTTTTTCTCTATCACAAACCCCAGATAAACTTTAGTGTTTATTTAAAGGCTCCTGCTTTCCTCATTTTGAAAATATATGTCTTCTCGTTTTTTTTTCTAGACGCAAGACTTCCCGAACAATTTCTTCGGGACATCCTCAGAAGACAGTGCGCTCAGCGATCAAGCAACAGCCATCGATAAGCTCACGGATCTAACGGATGGACAATCTGCTACTTCGCCAACAAGCACTGGAAATGGCGTTGGAGCAGCGTCACCTAATGATATTTTCGGCACGGAAAATCAAAAGCTGAATGACATAGAGGCAGATAAACTGACAAAGACAGAAGTACACGCACAGCCGGAAAACGCCGCTGGTATTGATGTGCCCGCCTTGACGAGAAACGAGACTTCAACGGTGGCACCTACGCATTCCCCAATCACAGAGGCAGAACTAAGTCCCGCTAACGCTTTTATGAGGCCTGGGTCAATCGAAGAAGCGGCATCCTCTAGTACAGGGGAGACGACTGTGTCTAGTCAAGATGATGGCGACGGTGTAACAAGTGCGTCTTCAGTTGATACAGTCACATCACGTGTATTGTCCCCGGAAGTGACTACACCTTACGGTTCCGATGGTGCCACAGAAACTGCATTCTCGGCGACAAATGCTCCAAACGCTTTGCAAGAGACGCCCCCCGAGTCTTTCGCTGCTCAGCCTGTGCATCCCGTGCCCTTTACGCAAGCCGATGTCTTGTCGCAGTCCACTTCACTGCCCAGCAATTACGGTCCCCTGGCAACAGATGGCCCATTGGTGATTTCCAGTGAGGGGGCATACGCAGGCTATCCGAACAACCCAGCTGAATTGTCCACCGGTGCTGTGGTGCCTGACCAGGTACCAACGGGCCCTTTTCATACACCGAGCAGCTATGCTGTACCACAAAGAACGCATATTCCAACCTACTACAGTCCGATTAGCACAAACGGTGGCATCTTGCCCGGCCATGCCACTGATTACACCGGCCCAGACTACAGCTCTGGACTAATAAGTAATCGAGGATCAACATTGTTTGGCACCGATCGAAGACCAACATTAGGTGTTAGGTTTCCGTGGGTAAATGAAGATACATCCACACAGGGTCAAGATCATAACGTGACTTCAGAACCTCCCACGCACACCACAACAGATGCAGTACAGAACAGCGATGATGCGGCGTCGTTGCTGACGTTAGCTGGTGAGACCACAACTGAAGGAAGCACTAACGCAGTGCCCTTAACCACGGCCCAGTATATTCGCACTGGCGCTGCTGGGCCAACAGAATCCTCGGATCAGCCGGAAAGTAGAGACTCGCAACATCAAAGTGAGCATATCAGCTCTACAGATAAGTCACTTGACGAAGCAACAACCATTATATCTGATACCACATTACACGACAGCGCAACTGATGTACTAACTACTGAGTCAAGCATGACACCGGATAGTTTTGGGACTAGGGCAAAAATGGGCAGGGCCCGAACCATGGATGGTGCATCAGACCCTACTAATAATTATGTAGACGATACAGGGAAGCGGAGCGAAGGGACGTTGGTTGTCACACCGTCTTCGGAAACTGAAGAAAGTGTACTGACTTCGCAACCAGTTTCACCTATTCAATCGAATTCAGAAAGTACCCCTTTTGGTACTGTTGCAAATGAACCAACAACAACTTCTACTGCGGAACGCACAGAGACTTCCACAGGCAAAATAGAACATGCTACAACTGCCGACACGGCAACTTCCTCGACAAACATTGCGGGGACCCCTGCTGTTGTTGCTACGCAGACCAGCAGTGATGGCGTAACGGAATCGCCTATTACAATGGAAACATCTACCCCTGTCATCACTGCCACTTCTGATGCTACAGCTATGTCCGAAACAACGACTGGGCATTCAACCTCTACCAGTGAAGGCACACCACCAGAGACCACCAAGACTGAATTGTCCCAAGATCAAATGAAAATTACCACTTCAAATCCTGAACAAGTGACCTCAAGTCCAAGTACAGACGAAACGGCAGAAAAGAACCCTGATCAAGCGTCAAGTTCTTCTATAGATTTGTTGACCGAGGGTGTGACACAGCCAACGGTAGAATCAGAGGTCTCTGACCAGCCTGCTATGGGCGATAGTAACGACAGTAGCACTCAGTCACCAAACATAGTCTCTGAAACGCGAGAAGGCACCGACGCAGTGACGTCAGAAGCTGCCATGACAGAATATTCAGTGACTCCTTCGGCTGAGACAACACGCGCAGAAACGTCTACAGGCGAAACATCAACATCAGAGGCCTCAGAGTTACTCACAAGGAATATTGCTACGACTACAGCCGCTGCTGTGACTGAGCATTCAGCAAGCGATGGCTCACAAGATACACAAACAAGCCCTTCAGATTCAGTTACAACCGAAATGACTCAGCCAGTAGGTCGAGAAGAATTGGCGACAGAAGAGATGCGCAGTGCGCAGCATACTACTTCGACCGCACAGGAAGAGCCAACTTCTCTTACTACCGAAGAGGTAACAACGTCGGAGCAGTCTCAGACCACAAAATTACCGATGTATGAAGGCACGACTACATCTTCACCGGAAATTTCTAGTGAAGGTGATGGGAACGCAGCTACGACGCCACCTGTAGTATACAGACCAGACGACTCCACGACATCACCTGCTGAGACCACAACAGTGGAAGCTGAGTCTGTAGTGCCAGGTGCGGACACTACAACAGCGAACGCCAATATCATAACAATATCGACAGCCAGAACCACAGCGCCAACTTTAGAGACTACTACACCAACACCCGAAGCCGAGACTACAGCAGCACCGGCTGCCGTAAGTACAGTGCCGTCAACTACGGAGGCTACAAAAGCGCCAGCAGTTGAGACCACATATACACCAATGGCTTATACTAAGGAACTGCCTGTTGCCGAGACTACAGAACCACCAGCTGACGAGACCACAGAACCACCAGCTGCCGAGACTTCAGAACAACGTGCTGCCGAGACTACAGAACCACCTGCTGCCGAGCCCAAAGAACCACAAGCGGGCGAGACCACAGAACCACCAGCTGCCGAGATTTCAGAACAACCTGCTGCCGAGACTACAGAACCACGTGCTGTTGAGACTACAGAACCACCTGCTGACGAGACTACAGAACCAACAGCTGCCGAAACTGCAGTACCACCAGCTGCCGAAACTACCTCACCGGCCTCAGAGCTTCCACCGCAGACTGTCGAAACCACAACAAAAACTGTGGAAACCACAACTGCCGTGAAACCTGAACGTGACACAACAACATCAGTAGGTGAGGCCATGATGCCATCATCAGGCGCAGACTTCACGACAGGGGCAGTAAACGGTATTACATCGGCGACAGGAGTCAGAACTACAACACTCGCAAACATCCAGACGACGGAAGCATCCGGTGACGCTGGAGCAGAAGCGGAAGTGACAGGCATTTCTTCGGCAAGCCGCAGTCCCAAGCAACTTGCTGAGAGCACGTCCGCCTCTCTTCCAGAGTGGAGCACGCTGCCTTCTGTTGAGCTCGACGACAAGCACAGCTTCACGACGGCCCCTGACCTGTTTTCAACGACGCAGTCATATACGAGCTCGGAAGCGAGTACGACACATGCTCCACCTTCTGTAGAGCCTGTAGGCCGCGAGATTACCGAAAGGCAACCATGGAATACATATCCTACGACAGTATCCACTATTCAGGAGTGGAAGCCGTCGACAGAGACGCCCTTTTACAAATCAGGTGAGAAAACGTGACATATCCATGAACTGGTGGTACGCTCAAATCATGGCGACACTTGCTGGTGAGATTAGCGGCATACAAATATGATAAGCGCCTCTAAACACATAGTTCAGATTACCTCTGTAAAAACCTTTATAGAGCATAGATGTTCACTGCGAAGAGTCAACTCTTTCTTTAGGGTCATTCTATTCCCTTCTGGGAGGCGTGTGACCCAAAAGAGTGTCAACGTGCCTCTTCAAAGAGAATCATATATGAGGCAAAGGGAAATTATGAAGCAAGAATGAAACAATTTGTCTTTTTTTAGAGTGTACTTTATTATATAATTTTTGGGCTCTCATTGTATGCGCGTTACGTGAATGAATTGCTTAAATGCCTTTAAAACACCTTTATAGTGGAAATTTATGTAAAATATTTTGACTATTGAATAAATCAGTAAGATATTGATGCCATATTGGTAGTGTCAGGCCCATAAAATGTGAAAGAAAAAGTGCAGTGTGGCAATCCTGCGCTTTGCTGTGCTCGGCCTTTTCTGATAACAATCGTGGTTGACGGGGCAAGTCAACCGTTGGGTGACAGGCGCTAGAGCAGCGCCGAAGTGAGTCCGCCAGGCTTACTGATGGGAACAGCCGAGTCTCGTCTGCCGGGACGGCATTCCCTCAGTGTCGCTGCATTACTCTCTGATGGTAGCAGCAGTCGCCGGTGCTATTTACGACTTCCGCTTCTTTGTGGCTTCGCAGGTTCGCCAACCAGTAGGACAACCGAAGGCGACGAGTCTTGCGTGAGTATATGTCGTCCTTCTCCGAGCTTGCTTTACCACAACTCTTCGAAGGCTGATGAGCTCAGAGGGACGATTGTTTTGAGAACTCTGCTTGAGATCCGCAGGTGACAGTAACGACATCTTAGCCAGTGCGCGATACTCCATATACGTGATTCAAGACGTCGCATTACAGGGTAAATCGGGACATCTTGGTCCCCTCTACTTTTGGAAACAAAATTGTAAGGTTGTTCGCAAAGCCTTTGCATGATATCAATTCGTAAGAGATTTCACGTGAAACACCAAGGTCTATTTTGCTAGTATGGCTGCATAAAAATTAATTTAAATGCAGATTCAAAAATGCTGAGCTCATAGAATAATATATATATGAGACGTGCAATAGCCTGAACGCGGGGAAAGGTGGCTTCTATTTGCTGATCGCTGCATGCTTCATGCTTAGTGTAGGTGTAAATAAGGATCAGAATCAGACTTTGATGAAACTGTTACTTAATGAAAAATTCCACAGTTTGAGTACACGCGTTTCCGGCAGATGTATAGGCAATGATTCCTTTTGAAATTCCACATGTTGCACGTTGACCATATTGCTCAGCTGTAGTGGGTATGGCCACTCACTTCAGCTCAATGAAGATATTTACAAAAAAATCAGGGGCGTTATTATTTTAATGAACGTAGTGTATGGTCACTTGCACTGATAAGCAGCGGAAAGGGAGTAGTATCATTTTTATTGCTAATGCTTGTGAGTTGGGTTTTATGGCTTTTAGGTCAAGTTATCCAAAGCAATAGATCGATAGATCGCGAGGGGTGGCAGTGTCGCAGCTGAGAAAAACAGTGAAGCAGTATGTAAGGGCATCGAAACTTTTTATATATAAGTTCACGCAGAAATGTGCGAAGCTGCCATTGTAGAGTGAGAGAGCTATGCACAGCTTCATGATAGTAATTAATATTTTCTACCCGAGGGGTGTCTACTGTACACAATGATACTTTAGTTGTTATTATCAGTGGGAATGTAATACCACTCAGTAGCCTAGCAACAGTGCATGTGGAACAACCTGAGCATAAGATATGCGAAACTCGTTGCACCAGTTCAACCTAACTCACGAGGGAAACGTGCTGGACGAGGGTTGATTCCAATAGACCTAAGATTGGTAACTTTTGCGCATCCAATTATTGACAAAGCTAAGTACCTAAGTACTACGCCTATATGCCACTCAGAGTCCTAATTATGAAAAATTGTATCATTGAAACGATCACCTCAGAAGTTCTTTTCGTATTAAAAAAAACTTTAATAACACCAGCAGTACTGATCCACCTGTCTTCCACATATGCTGAATGGCGTGTTTTAGGAACGCATTTTGACAGGCGCATAATTAGAAAGTAGTCAGTTGGTGGAGAATTATGTAGAATAGTGTACATGGCTTGTATTCTGCATTGCGTTGGAATATAATGGTTAGCTAAAGAAGGGATGACATCTTTTTGAAAGGATTCCTTCTGGGTCAGCTGCTTTTCATTTGCATTTGTAGTTCTTAAGTGACTGTGCATATAAATGGTTATCTTTTGAGCAAAGTTCTATTGTTAAAGCATGTGGCTGGCATAGTATAATACTCCCTTACCCACCAAATGGTCTTTCTGCAGGTCATTTTGGATGGTTCTCTGCCGGTGCGGTGTCTTCTGCCTGAGGAGCTCAACCACACTGTTACGGTCAAGTTTGGCGATGTAAGTGTCACCGCGGCGACGTTGTCAAAACAAGGAGTGAATGAATGAATGATCATACGTTATTTGCTTGTTTAGGAAGTCAGCCATTCATTTAATAAAACACAGACGTTGTGTAGTAGGAGGTTACAGTGGTACAGTAGCTAAACTCTATTTAGCACGAGTGGTGTCAAGTTAGCTTGAGGTAGTGGGGAGCTTTGAAACCTACCTTGCTTCTTTACATCTTCTCTTCGCTTTCTTTCTTTCTTTCTTTCTTTCTTTCTTTCTTTCTTTCTTTCTTTCTTTCTTTCTTTCTTTCTTTCTTTCTTTCTTTCTTTCTTTCTTGCTTCGTTTCTTTCTTTCTTTCTTTTTCTCTTTCTTTCTTTCTTTATTTCTTTCTTTACTTTCAATATTTTTTCTATTTATTTCTAATAAAGCTTTATCTATTTCTTTCTCGCACATAGTGGACCTAATAAAGTGGTTTTACTCACTCCCTCACTCTCTAGCTCGTTCTAGCTTTCTTTCATTTTCTTTCCTTTCTTTTCACTCTCTATTCATGGCTTCTTTCTCTATTTATTTATTTATTTATTTATTCACACATACCCGGGTACCAATTGCGCTAGGGCAGGAGTGGGTATACAGGAATACTCACCCTTTCTGCTCTTCCCATCGCACTTGATTTTTCCTTGCACAATATCTTCCTTCATCTCTTTGTCACTCTTTTTTGAGTCCACTTCAATATTCTTCTCACTGTCTGAATCTGTCTCGTCATTTCTCCACATTTTCTTTAATTTGATCATTCTTTTTCTCTCTACCTCTCTTTCTCTGTGGACTCATCCTCTCGTCTATCAGAGTTACGACATCCCACGTCGGACAAATGGGCCCACGTGCTCTAGGAGCAAAGTAGAAAATGAAGAAGAGAACGTACAGAGCACGCGCTTGTTCATGATAGTGGCAGGATTTTGTTCCCTCTGCACAGAGTAACAGTCGCCTTAAGCAGTGCCTCCGCCCTCAAAAGAAACATACTTACTTAAACCTCATAGCGGTGCGTGCTGCAAAGAGATATAAAGGAGCGATTCATTCTTCATTTAGGACGGTAAAATTCGCTGTAAGCCTTATTTGTGGAAAGACTACGCGAGTGAATAGGATTATAATTAGTACCCTAAGTGGAGGAAACTTAGGAATATGATAAATCTCACGCCTTTTCTCAAGATACTGTCCTGCAGTTCCCACTTTCATCTTAGCTGTGTAGCGAGTTCTCTTATACACAATCTGTAATTTTTTTGCCGCTACCCTACGGATTTAAGAGAGATTCGTTTGATTCACTACGGCCGTTTGTACTTGACCAATGCCATGAAGCGCATGTTTGTCGGCCGATATGGCAAGTTAGACTGCTTCTTCTGAGTATCATTTAAAATATTGTTATGGGTTAAGCCCAGAATTTAAAGACAAAGTACGGAGAAAATAAAGATAGCATAGTTATAAGCGCAGCCTCTTTAATAAGTGGTCACGATGACACGCGAACAACATGGTAAAACCTAATGATTTCGCAGGTATTTTCAATAAGCTGCTAATTAAGCTAATAACAATTTATGTGCGTTTACAGCTGAACCGAACCAGGGAGGAAACATTCCGCACAGAGACCAGACTCTGGCTGCTGGACTATTGCAATGTGAGTGTTCCTTAGTGAACCTTTTCGTAGAGTAAGTGAAAAAGTGTGCGCACTATCGGTGCAGTGGTTGTTTCTTTTGAAAAGATGGAGGAAGTGAAAAAAAATGGTGGCTTTCACTGCTTGAGTACTACAAGAATTTCACTTAGTCTCTGCACTGGGATATTAAGGTCAATTGACGTGACAAGGATGACATGAACATCACAGATATTGTGAGCATCGAAGTCCCCTACGTAGAGCCTGATAATATCTGCCATGAAATTAAAAAAAATGTAAGCTGGGCAAAAACGCACTGAGAACCATTATTGAATATACGCGTTCATTAAAGTTATTGAGGGAGGTTTCAGAAATACTACGAGTATTGCCTAGTACGAGCAATGGCGCTCGTTTTGCTTTTTCCAGTTGTATTTACCATTGTCTGTCTATCTTTGTTTATATTGTTCGTATCTGGTTAAATATCTGATTTTTTGTCTACCTGAGTTGACTGACCAATATTCGCTTTATGATTTGAGATGACAATAGGAAGTAAGTTACCTTGGTTTACAGCGCTCGAAAGCCCACCCTTATGCTGAAGCACATGTTAAAATAAGAGCAATAGAAATGTAATAATAGAAAACTTCGAGATAAGAAAGCAAATGGACAGAAGTAAGAAGCAAACTTGAAAGAACAATGAATTGTACTACACGTTTGCTGCTATGCTGCATGCCTGCTTTGCTGTGTTCCATGCTATATAAATCTAGTTAGACGTTAATGTTCGGGACTATTTGCTATTTATTTTTGGTAGTACGTCATCAAACTTCCAAAGTTTTATGTAATATGAACATATGTTGGACAGGAGCACCTTAGTCCAATGCATCTTACCGCACATGTCTTACCGACTTCGTTTTTTCACCAATAGAAAAATGGTATCCCGCTTGGTGAACCGACAGTCGTGTTCCTCAGCGGAGACCACCACATGGACCACATCTCATTCTTCGTTGTCAACAACACCAGAGGTATGTTCACGAAATTCAGTGATGACATAGCTGTGGTCGTGATGGCGCTAATCGTTGCGTGATAATTGAATCGTAGGAGAATTATCTGCGTTTTGCACGACTGATTCATTTTAACGTACGAAAAACGGAGACGCGACTGGCCAACTATGCCCCGTTTTCAGACATGTTTTGTTTTATTACAGCTTAAAAATGTTTTTATCCCTACAAAACATTGTCAGTGTCAATACACTTGCTAAAGTTCTCCTCCAAAGCTCGCGAAAGAGCACTCGCTCAACCACTGATGCCAAAGAGAAAAAATGTGTAGTAAAGAGTGATACCGAAGGCTCGCTCACAAGGATACAAAAAAGCAATAAATCGCTTGACAAAACCTCGAACTTTTAACCAGTGGAATAAATGGGAAGCGTGGGAATGAAGACGGGCCGGAAATAAAAGGTAACAGGAACGATAACACAAACACACAGACACGCAGGCAGATCCAGACACGCACGCACCCACGGGCACACACACTTTGAAAAATTATTCGTATTCATTTGTTTCCAGTTGTAGCTTGGGGTGGCCTGGGGCGCTAACTCACCAACTTCCATGTTAATAAACTTTGGCCACTCTGCAGCTGCACAGGCAGTAATTTGAGGTTAGTGTAGGTCCCCTCCCCCCCATGCATCTTGGTTTTCATACACCAAAGAACAAACAGCACAACACTATCTCACACGTCCAATGTTGTTGGTTTTTACCTCGGCATGCTACTTCATCCAGAAGTGGTACACATGTTGTAAGTGCTACAGCACTTGCTACGTGTATCTCGGTAGTAGCAACGCAGGAAAAAGTACCCACTAAGTTTAACATTTATGCTGTATCCGGTACGAGAAACGGAGCTGTCATGCCTATACCACCTGAATAGACACTTTCGAAGAGTTCGCCCGTTTTTCCAGGCCCTTGCACACACATGCAAGGAAGCACCAGTAGTCCCCTATAATCACGAATAAAACTGGTAATATTGTTCAGAGTACGGTGGAGCATTATTGCGAATTCCACATGAACAAAGGAACCGTCGGGAAGCGTGTTGGAAAGAAGTTGATATTTAAGGTGTCGTTTTCTTGGTAAGCCACACGAATAATAAGAAATAAGACACAATAATGCCAATCGAAGTATGAGGGATCGTATATTTAGGAGTAATTATCGTGTAAATGTGAAGAATCAGAAATGGACTAAAAGACAACTTGTCACTGGCAGCGACCAAGCCTGCGACCTTCGAATAATATGTCCGATACTGTTCCAGCTCAGCTACAGGGGCATCCATCCCTCTGTCCCCTTTTTAGCGGGTATATAAGTGCAATATAAACGTAGTAGTGTCAGTCAGAGCCACCAGTAGCCATGGTGGCGAGGATGCAACACTCGTTTTAAGCCTTTCGGCGTTACGTAGCCCATGTCATCAACAAGAAAAAAAACTTTTTAAATGATGTAGTAATTGCGTCAGCTTGCAGAAGTTGTCTTTTGAATCGAGCAGAAGTCGGCGATTCGGGCATCCTAGCGAATTGGTATTGCTCGGAGAGGGCGAAAAGGGAAAGGCAGATGCTATGACATAGGCTGTGCGGGTTTGCAATATTGTTTAGAAGGTGTCATTTGATTGCTGAGCCTCTAGTTTCGAAACCAATGCGTTACCCGTTCACATTATATTGCACCAAGGCCTGTTAAGTTGTAGTGAATGGGTCTGCTGTAAAGATGGGCCACGTACAAGCAACAGAATTCAGATACATGAGGCGTTTTCTTAGCACAAAGCAGTGCGTACTCAAAGCGCTGTCGGTTCTATTTGATATTTTTTGGAGCATACACCATCGAGACGCAAGCAATTCTGTACCACTGGAGGTGCTGGTGATCATTTGTTTATAACCTACAGTTGCTTGACCCACCATGGCGAAATCTGCGAGCAAAATGCTGACCCATTCCTGCCGCACGCAGCATTAGGTCGACAAGAATTTATATCAAAAATTTTTGTGCACTTCACAGGCATATTTAGGTTGTGACATTCAGCTCTTTTTGTCGGTGCCCCAAAGGAAAATAAATGTCAGTTTATCACACCAAAATGATGATCTTCAGTTTTATCAAAAGTGTTGCAATAATAAAAAGTCTTTGCGATTGTTTGAAAACGTTCAGATGTTTTATAGTCTCATTGATTATTTTTCGACACTTGACGTTATAAATTGTGTGCAGGTTCTGTGGTTCCGAGTGACACAGTGGTTGCAGTCCTCAACAGCATGAAGCTAACGTTTGAAGATAGGGTAAGGCTGTATAACTCATCGTACAAGTCTTTTATATTCAAGCATCGTCGTAGAAGATCTTTCCAGTAGATAAAATTTAGACGCATAACTAATAATATAAGGCAAGCGCTTTGTTTAAGTGTAACGGGAATTCGGCCAAGAGCAAGTATTGATGTTTTCATTTTAGTATTAAGATGTTTATAGTCATATGTACTTAAGAATATAGATCTTTCGATTCAGGTGAACGCCACCTTGTTGCTAAAGAAAAGTGAGCATCGTATGAGCCGAAGTGTAACCCCCAATGAACTGTTAGAGCTGGTGTTATTACGGCACAGTCATGTTGCGTATCTACCACTTTGGCTCATATTCCTAGAGAAAGTTTCTCGATTTATTATGAGGGCTTGGAAATCGCCTCACTGGATGATTTTGCGCTTACGCTACCAATGTCGCATTCCTAAACGTGCACCAGACTGCTCGTGTTGCACTGCTTACGTAAAGATGGACGCTTCGGTACAGATGCCAGCAGCAAATTTTCGTAACTTAGTATTTTTAGCTATTTCGACCAGACCTTGAATAACAGGTCTCGTCTTCCTCTATGATTGGTTTTTCTTTACAAATAGGCTGAGAGCTCAGACCTTGATAATTTTGCAAAATTCGGACTCGGGGATCCCATTGATGCTAAGTCCGCAATCTGTGAAGCTTTGAAAAACATTCCCTGTAGTTACGACCTTAGAAATGAAAAAGTTTGTATAACAGTGGCTATAACATCTAGTACGACATCACATATCTGGCGAAATAAGCATGGTTTCAATCAAAGAAAAGCTGATCTAGAACAAAACGTAATCGTTGTGAAGACTGCATGTAAACGTGTACCAGAGAGAAAGACAAAACATTCTGAACCGAACTCTCCCCTGCGGCCGCGGTTGCACACCCAGTCTTTCATAATGATATATGCATGCATGTTGAGCCCTATTTATATGTTCGTATATGTACATAAATTATATGCGCATATATGTACCAAGATCTTCATTTTAATGAATTTGAGTTGTTCATTTGTTATGAAAAAAAGTGCGTGACCGAGTGAAGCTTCAGAAGTTGCCACCAATAACCAGATATTACTTCATTCTCTATAGTAGCAACAGAAACAGTCAAATGTGATTGATTTGTCGCAAAACCACCAAATGATTGACGTCGCAAAACCACCATATGATTATGAGAGGCGCAAAACAGCCATAATTATTTCAGCCGTTCCCATTCTGCGAACTTTATACTCCAGGTGCGTTTGTATGCATTGTGTATTTACAAGGCGTTAATGTTGTAGATTTGAAGCTTTTTATATTTGCAGAAAAAGGTACGAAAGTCGAAAAGAATGTTTAATACGAGAAACATTAGACAGCGGGGTCAATATTTGGTAATTTTAATTAATCACATGTAAATTTAGTAAAAGCTTGGTAGCAGCATGAACACATCACGTATTATCAAAACATGTTCAGCTGCTCTGCTGAAAGGTAAAGTTTTAAATGAAGAAACAGTGCCAAAACAAGACTAAAGCGAGAGTGCACAAACCCGGTGCTGCAACATGTGCATCAGTTGTCCCAGGTCACGTCCAGTTTGCAACCCGCTTTTTTTTTTCAATTCACGTAGTAAATGTTACTGCCTTGTTCTATGAGAAAATGAGACCGAATATTGTCGTGTGGGCAATAGTGTGAACGCAGGTAAAAAATAATGCGATACGCACCATTCCGGTCAAGGATGTTTGACACATTTGTTTTAATATGCCTAATCAAGTCCAGTTTTCTTTGTTTTCTAAAGCAACGAAGCCGTCGCTTCCGAAAAGACGCCTACAGAGTCGAACAAAAGCCCATAGTTTGTGGCCTACGAAGCAGGTGCGAGTGAAGAATTAACAAAAAGGCTGGCAGAGGAGGGTAAGAGATGTGGCGGGTGCGTCAAGTAAGTAAATCGATGAAGAATATGAAAAGATGAAATGCTTTAACGATAGTATTTAAGCTGGGGGCTTAACAACGCAGCAAAAATGCTGGAAGTAAGTTTTGCGGTAAATGCACCTAATATCTCTATTAGCGGCCATCATGCATACTTCAGAATGATTGCAGACTCGGATGTTTCGTTCATATTCGATACTAAATATCTACTGCTCTGCTCGTAGAAATTGTCAATCCTTTTTGTAAAAGAAAAGCTTGCAATAAATAAGGAGAAAAACATGGTTGATCCCTCCGTCATAGGACTCGGTAAATTACGAAAGTAAAATGTGTCCTTGCTGAAGTAGTCTAATGTTAACTGTACATTGAAGTAAGGGAGCTTGCACAATGCGTACTGGTATTTGACAGCTACAGCACCACTTCACGTTGATGATTCTGCGTTGACGCTTAGTCATACATCTCTATCCCGGCGGATAACATTCATTATGAAGAAGCTGACTAAGCAAACCTTGTGGTCATAAATGCTTGTGGTAGCTTGAGATAAACACTACCACAAGCATCATAGATGCATGTGGTAGAGATTACAAGTCATGAAACACAAACGTTCTCACACAAAGCGAAAAAAAGCTTAAGTTTTATTGAATTGAAATGAAATGGCGTGTTAACCTGACAAGTTGTCTACACAGTGCATTTAAGTAATGAATGTCTCTCCACCCATTTATATTTCCATAAATAAAGCTCCCTGCACGTCCTCCTTAACGATTGACGAGCCGTTAGAATGCCTTTTTGTCCAAAAATGAAGACAACAGAGAGATAAAACAAGTGTGCCACTTTTTCGACATCGTTTGATGGCGCCAGGGAATATTAGCTATGAAAGAGGTAGCATATAAATTTCGATACTTTCCATTTTCTATATATAGAAAATTATTATTTGTATAGAAAACGCGATGGGGTACCGCTGCACTGATGCATCAAGGACACATACCCTTAGGACGCCGCTTATGTTGTACCCGGCGTGAATGCCATGCATTTCACACACTTGAAGTACTTACAATTGCTTCTTTCTTGTCATATAATCATCCTTAGGAAAATCAACACCACTTTTCCCATGTCGGCGTGTTGATTGCGGTAGACATTCGAAAGTGGCCTGGCAGGCACATCGAGAATGCGCTGATCATTCTACAGCGCAAGAGAGTCTTGCAGCCGTATTTGCAAACGCTTCTCGAACTCGAAGCTTCACTTGAGGAGATTTTTAAGGACTGTTTCGCGTTGCGATATCTGCTACACGAAAACGATCAAGAATTCGTTGAGGCTGACCATCGAGTAGAGAAACGTTAGTGAATACGGGCTCTAATCACCCGTGAATGCGTCAGTCCATGATTCTTCGTGAAACTGCGTAAAAGTGGGGCAAGGACAACATATTTGATAGAATAATGATAGCCTGTATTCGCAAACTAATTACTACAAGCGAAGCGTTACCCTGAAAGCTTGAGTTTGATTGAACATTTCGTTTTGTGACACCGTGCAGATAAAAGCTTGACGCACTCGCTAGGAACTCATGCTTCAACAATCGTGAAAATCATTGATGGACGACTTCACACGCAACGAAGCTGCTCAGACTGAGAACGGTTACGTCAGATTATTTTGGAAGTCGAGTTCCAGCTGTATACAACGGTGCTCACGTCGCAACGATACCTTTTTTCTAAAGTTCACGGGGAATTTTTTCATAGGAGGCTGGCGTATGTAATCCAGTAGCGTGTTTTTTGTAGTTTTTGAATCGACAACTAATTTATGCGACATTGTTCAGTCTCTGACAAGAGCTACAATAAGCATGCTTAACGAACTAAGATAAACTAAGCTGCTAAAGATGTTTTGTCTCCAATATAATTGGGTGGTGATTATCGTGTGCACTGAATGCACGAGCATGCACAATCTACCCCGGGAGAGACGGGGTGGCTGCAGGAACTATTAAAAAGGGCCTCAGTTGGCCGACTGCAAATTCGTGCCATCCAGTTGGTCTCCCAGCTGGTCGACAGCTGTGAAATTACAACGTTGAGTTGTTGAGGCGTTTAGACAGCACCGAATAAAAACACAAGAACGTTCACAAGAGCACCATTTTTCTACCGGAAGCTTGGTTCCGTCAATGGCCTTATCGCCGCTGTGCGCCATTGATTTTCACCTTAATATACTGAGCTTTTTCAATACAGCCGTCGTGATTGCTTTAGTCAAATGTTTTAGTCATTTCGCATATTGCTGAGCGCGGGAATCCAACAATCAGAGCTGGCGGGAAGGGCAAACGGCAGACGTATTTCCTATGTTCGAAAATATTACAGCCCTTCAGCATGCCAGTGCGTAGTACGTTCTATAACTGATATCAAATTTCGCAACACTATTGCATTACAGCTGGGGACGGCGATCACGGACGTTTTTTACGGATTGCCCGTGCTGCACGAGAAAGATGAGCCGAGCACAACTTTCCTAGGATCATCTCTAGGCCTCGTTTATGTCATCGTGGGAGCGGCTGTGGCAGCCGTGCTGCTTCTGGCTCTGCTTGTGGTAATCATGGTCAAGTGCCGAACGCTATCCTCCAACCAATACTCGCCCGATTCGGTGAGTATCTTTACTACGTATTAATAATATGTTGAGCCCCTCTTTACGCTACAAAGAAAACGCACGAGAATATGTAAAGCCAACTTCTTGATTGATATGATATGTCGGGTTTAACGTCCCAAAACTACCAGTGGAGGGTTCCAGAAATTTCGATCACCTGGGATTTTCTAATATGCACCCAAATCTGAGCACGCGGGCCTACAGCATTTCTGCCTCCATCGGAAATTCAGCCGCTGCAGACGGGATTCCACGACCTGCGGGTCAGCAGCCGAGTACCTTAGCCACTAGACCACGACGGCGGAGCTAAAGCCTACTCCTAACGGTATAGGAGAGCTACTCACGATATACATACAAACCGTGCTACCCAGTTATTTCATACAAAGAAACTCCGTATTACGTTTTGCTTCAATTGACTTGTGTAGCACAAGTTAAGGAATGAACAGTAATGTGTGTCATCCATGCTGTAGCTTGCGCTGCACAAGTCATTGAGAAATGATTCAAGACAACAAGGACCGTCTATATCATGTATTAGTAGGTTTACGCTTATAGCTTTGTCTCCTATAGTGAAAAATTAAGAAAGTTTTAAAACGTTTTATTGCTTTTGTGCGATGTTCTGTCCAAATAACAATGTGAGCGGGACGGTTTACATGCCAGAACAGCAATCTTACTGTGAACCATGCGTTGAGGGCTGTGAAACTTTCTGCCACGTGCACGTCTCAGTAATTCGGGAGCTCTAAAGAACCTTTTGTAAAAAAAACAATTGCTGTCTTAGTGCAATAAAGATGAAGATTCGGTTAACCTCTCCTCATATACATTAAATTAAAAAAATATCCGATTCTCTGACACACATGCTGCATGATGAGCTGAGCATTTTAGATGCGAAGCAGCTTATAACGGAGTTATATCCGGTGGTGTGCCGCACGAGCACTCTTACTGCGTGTACACAACAGCAGGCATAAGCACTACCAGAACGGGGTCACGCGCTAGCGCGTTCCGGCCTGTATAAGACACTGGGTAAGACGCTGTGACCTTTCTTCCTTACACTCTCTCATCAATCGTGTGATGGTGTCGGGGAATGAGATTCTACAGATTTGATGAACTCGCATGCTCCAGCGGGGCCATGCAACGTGGCATTCTCGAACAAGAATTCGGAACGAGTACCAGCAACAGAATCTACAATAAATTCCCGCGGTGCTCCACTTGCAAGAAAGCGTTAACATCAGGCAAGCCACCCATGATGATTGGAAGTTTAAGTCAACCCGTGAGCTGCTTCACATGCCATTCATGGTTCCCTTAGCGGGAGATTGTGTAGTATTTTTTTTGTGCCTCGGCGTTTTGTACAAATATTTGTCCATTGCATGTTTCAGTGTGGTCTTCCTTTGCGCCGTCGAAGAAGTCAAAAGTTTGTAAGAGGAGGGGGGCTGTAAAAACTCAATAAAACTATCACAGACTAAAACATTTCAATGCTTATTCAGGAGTATGTCACGATGCCTGACTGACTACAGGGCTCTCACTATGAATGCACGAGGTGCTAGTTTAATACGCCTCTGAAACGTTACTATAATCACTCACGTGTTTTTTTTTTTTTTGCTGCTCGCAAACCTGCTCACGCTACAATACAAAAACTCGTCTCGCCGTTGAAGATTACACGTTGCTGAGATTGCGATAAGTATTGCAACAGCACCACACCAAATTTTTTCAGCTAAACTAACTGCCCTTCCTGTCAATCTAATGGGTCTCGTCTGTGTAGTTCTGTTGTCATCGAAAGTGATTTCCTCTTTCCAGAAGAAGCATAAATAACCTAAAAAATTATTCCTGTCAACCTTCCTGCCCTCTACTTGTCTCAGTGAACACCTTCAATAGACCTTATAGGTTTGCAGCAGCAACCACTGAATAGGTCTAAATGCAAAGGCATGATGCGGAATTTACTCAGCCTGCGCATTGTAGACTAATAATCATATTTAACTGAGAAGATTGTTCAATTCATACCACCGTTTATTTGCGGAAGATCACTACAATGCATAAAAAGCAATGTAACCCGTACTTTCTGGCTTGGCTGTGCAGGAAAAGCTGACCAAGGACTTGCAGATGCGTGCTGAGATGGGCGACCTGCGGCCGGCCGATGAGATCCTCAAGGAAGAGGCTCAGCTAAAGGAGTCCATCAACGGCAACGGCACACACATCAACGGCGACGGCTGGGTGGTGCCATACTCGCAGATAGTGAACGAGCGCAAGGAAAAGCCTGACGCGCAGGACACGCGGCTCTGAAGCTCGGTTTTTGTCGCACCGCTGGAACGAGATCTCCAGGGTACCGCAAGCGGCTGTTAGGCAATGCTTGGACTAATGGCCTCGGGTGTGAATACGCTTGAGCACACAGGAAGTACAGAAGAAGAAGATGGGTATCATCTAGAGCAGTGCAAGAATTCAGTGTTGAAAGAATTGTCAGTAGCCGTGCCAATTATAAATTGCAGGTTTCGTAAAATTGCATTCAGCTCAATTACATTGGAAGTAGATTAAAGTGTGTGCACAGTGAGGACAATTTCAGAGAAGCTTCAGAAAGATGCTTCTGAAGTTCTTTCAGACATAAAAAAAGAGTAATTGAATAGTGCCAGGCAGGGAGCTTCAACCCCGTATAAATTAAGAAAGCAGGTCTGTAGGCACAAAACAAAAAACCATAGTGCACATAGCCCGAGTGCTGATAAAAATGGCGCAATAACTTTGTGGCCTTGGCAAATTGTATCAACATGGTGAGCTTACCGAACATAGATTCATCACGCATCGGCAGAAAAAACGAATGGTACAGTGCAGCGGAGACACTGTATTGAATTTCGATTCCACTGTATTGAATGTCCTACCACCCCGAGCAGCAAGTGGTCATTCCGCTTTAACTTCATACCAGCAGCCATAAGTCATTTAAGCATTGCCGCAGCACGCACGCGGTTCCTTGAAAACCTACTCCAGTGATTTAGACCTTTCTGGAAGTGCAAGCAACGTCCTCCGCATGCGGCTTCAAGATCCCTGCACCGCGTGACGTGGTGTCCATCTTCAAACAGTGTGTCTTGTGGAGCTGCACAGGGTGTGCACTGTCCCGCTGGTCACATGCATCACAAGTAGAACTATGACCCTGAACATTACTGCAGTGTTACAGTGCAGCGACAACGCTATTGCTGTTACTGTATGCCGAAGAGCGTAAAAGCCGCTTGGGACTCACACACATGTGTAACTGTGTGAAAATATGCCGCTGTGTCATCACAGCGCAATGTGACAAGAGACCGTGGCAGGCTGGCCTCTTGTCATTCAGCGTGTCTTTAGTGTATGGGGCTTCGCCTACATGGAAGCAAATCGGGTGCATCCGAAGCACTGTCGTGATGAATGCCGCATTGCGCGACATACTTCCGTAAGTTATGATGATGAGGAAAGAGCGTGCCGACACATTCCAGTCAAGTATATTGTGTTTCTTTTTTCTTGCTTGTGCTTAAAAGCTGTTGAATAAGCACTGTCCCTGGAACCAAATGTATTGACAGTAGGCAAGGGGACTTGTTATCGTCAAGCTCCTCAAGAAGACATGTTCACTTGCCTTACTGGCGTAACCTTTGTCAACAGTGACATTATTTGTTCGCAGAGTTCACAACATCCAACCTCTATCGTCATTAGAAGATCTGCCTGAGTCACATTTTTTTCTCGCTCTTGCTAGACTTTCAATTAGTGTAGGCTGAGAAGTGGTAAAAAAATGCTTTCTTCTTTAGTGTTCTTCGTGAGTTATTACCTTTGTGTGGGGAATAGTAGACATCGCTTTCTTGTCCTTTATTGTGCTGCACCCCAACACCGAAGAGGGCGCTGACTTGCAAGTTGTTACGAATGACTGTATAGATTTCTTTGAAAGGGTGCGCACAAAGATTCCCGGTGGAAACGATTTATGCGCTTGTATGCATTGAGCGGTTTACACTTTATAGCAAATCGTTTAGGTTGAAGCAAGATAGCGGAAAAATAAATTGAAAACGACCCATGAGATTCTTATCAGCTGCATAATTCATACAGCACAAGCTTATCATGACAAACTGCTGTAGAAAATTTTATCAAACTAGTGCTAAAGTTTTTGTAACCTTCGAAACTTTATATTGAACGCTTGTTGTCTCCAGAAAAGTATAATGAGTGTAAATGCTGGAAAGTATCGCGTGAATGCTAAAAATAAAGTGTTGCTTTATATTCGGCAAGGTAGATCACCAAATTAATTCCAAAGGTGTGCAACTTCTTGTTCATTTGCTACTAGCAAATTGTCTTACTTTACATGTTTACTCCTGTTCTTTATTGTGTGCGTATTTGGATAATTCGTACTGGGTAGCAGTGTATTGTGTTTTAATTGCAATCAGTGAAGTAGATTACCCTAAATATCATCGTGCGAGTTCTATTTAGCATAAAAATATGCATCATAGTATAAACCTTAGCAACATATCTTTCTGCAAAACTACCGTTTGTGTGAACATATGGTGATCATGAATTTACTAACCTTAGATGAAGTGTTAAATACATTATAGCCAGTGTTGTTTTCATAATTGCTAAAATAGCAACATAGAAAAGTAGATGTCTGAGGCAGTTATTCGGATTCTGGTCGTGGCTACCAGATTGGAGGCTGTGGTGTTCCAAAATTTCAGGTTAGTCTACACTTTGCAAGCACATACATTTAGTTAATACAGTATGATTTTTTATTCACACTGAAGAGTGTGCAATCTGCAAGAAAACTGCCTTAAAACTATTTTTTGTCCGCTTGTTAGAACTGGAGATACTGAATATCTGTGGTAACCACGCAACAATGCCGTGCAAGAGTTCTACCACTTGATGGGTAACAAATCCTGTGGCTATTCAATTTGTTTCAGACTGCTCTCTGTTTTCCCGTTCTTTTGACTATTTGTTGCAAAATTTTATGAAGGTGAAAACAGGCACGTCTATAAAAGTTGACCATCTGCTCCAAAAGTATTACGGGTGACCAAATGTGCAATTTTTCCGACTGTTGTTGCCAAATACTTTGTGACAGTTCACAATGGCAATTAGCTTAAAATGACCTAATATATAGGTGGCAGTAGGAGGTGATATGCTATTTTTATAAAACTTTATCCTAGAAGGCATATACCACAGTAATTCATTACACGTTATAATACACAGAAAACGCAATTGATATTTCGCACTTCAATCCTCATTTCATTCCCAACTCCTCGCATGAAACATCAACAGGAGAACTATAGACAACCATGCAGATGCGGGCTACTACTACAGGTGTGTACACATTTTATGGCAGTCAAGATTACACGAGATCGCAACATGAATGTCTTAACATTTTTCAGCAATCTCAAATACTGATTTGCAGAGATGTAAAGGGACCAGTGCGGCTATGTACCAGTTAACCTCGTAGTCACAATAATGGCTCATCAGTCACTTTGAACGTGGCTTGCGTGTAGTCACTGTTCTTTAATTCTTGCCAGAGGAGTTTAGTTCTCCTGTATATAGATTTTGAAAGTGTGGTAGTGTACTTTTGTAACTTTTTAAACTTACAACTTTACTATTCTTTGCAATGTGTGTAAGGATACCTACCATTTCTATGCTCCTCGCCATTGTGTCTTCTCTATTCAAACAGGTAGGCTTTGGGAGTGTGACATCACTAAAGCACTTACAAGACTTACCTGGTTTTAGCACTCACTCAGCATTTGTCTTATACACATTCAGAGTGCCTTATTTTTTGCTGAGTAGCTTACAGCACAGGTAACGTTTTTGCAATATGAGCAAACGAACCTTAGCGACGAGGTTTTACGTGAAAGATGCAAACCAAAATTGTATTTGTGATTGGTAGTACACTTATTTTCGTTTAGCTGCTTTTCGCGCGCCATATTGTGCCAAAACTTGAGGCTTATCTCAGTTTCAAAGTGGCACTTGTTGTGATCCTTGCTTAGTCACTTTACCCAAGGATGGGCTCAGTGAACATCTCAAAAGCTTATGCTGTTCGCACAGTGCTTAAACACAGTGTAACTGACAAGGAACAATGCAAATGGCGATCGATGTTTTGCTGCAATACATGATGAGGTGGTGTGCCACAAACCGTTGAATGTTTTCTTGGACAAACTGAATGCGCATGGCGTCAGCGTCTTACACTAACAAATCAAAGTGCCCATGTCATTGCATTTCTGTTCTGTTCCTTGACCAAGATATGTATATAGTGAAATAAAGGTTGTTTCAAATAACCACGTCTCCTGCCTGTTCCAAATAATATATGCCTCAAGGCAAAATAAACAGTCATAGTCAGCCAGTCATTCATATTTATTGTGAAGTAGGCTATTTTTATTCATCTCAATATTATTAGTGCGTTGTGTTCCAAATTGTTTCATTACTGATTTTTATAAGGCTCAACGATTGACCCCTGTGTCGATATTCTGCTTGAACTACTCAGCAAAAGAAATATAAGTTAAATATGTACTTTTCAAAAACAGCAAACGCTACAAGGGAAGTTTGTGATTGCCTATTGTATATCCGTGCATAATGTTACCTGAGTAAAAAATATATATATATATATATATATATAAATATATATATATATATATATATATATACATATATATATATATATATATATATATATATATATATATATATATATATATATATATATATATATATATATATATATATATATATATATATATATATTTGTATATATAAATAAATAGAGCACAGTAAAAATTGTTGTCCAGTTTCGCTGGTTTTCACATTTTTCATCTGCACGGAACTGTCCAGCAGTTTCCACATGGTAGGGAAGCGCCGGAATGAAATGACTTTTACACACGTGTTTCAAGTACACCACAGAAAGAATGACCCTAATTTCAGGTCTAACGGTCCCACGCCACTGATGTTCCCAGGGCGGATGCCTTACCAAGGGACAATGAACATCGTTCTTCGGAGAACCAGGCCAGAAGTGCCCTTTTACCTAGTTAGCCAGTAAGTGCCTGGTGGACATCCTTTGCCTCCCACAGCAGCCGTGGATCCGATGCTCAGCTATTCTGCCAAAACTGTGGTGGATTAAGCTACGCCCTTGAGCCTTCAAATGGGGCCACCTCTTGAAATAAGTACCCATGGACAACCAAGCGGCAGGTCACTGTACCCATCTACCCATTGGTAAAAACAGGTGGGTTCGCGCTCACCACTGGGAATCGAACTCGGTACCTACCGCATAGGAAGCGGGAGCTCCAGCAATGTAGCCACCACTCATGTACCACGTTCATTTCACGGGAATTTGGCTTGGCCCAAGGTTCACTGCAATACATCAGCAGTTCAGTCTACTTTAACACCGTCTATTACGCATTACATTTCAAAATGCGAGATTACACGCGATACAGACGATGCTTTCGATGTTGAAAGACTAAACGACCGAAATCGTTTAGTCTTTCTGAGTAAGAACGTTTGCTTTCTAAAACAGTCACGAATGCGTTGAAATAAGCTGGGATATGTAGTAACAACATAAGGCTGGGGTGGTGCCAGTGACATATCAGCATACGTTCTTTGATGATGGCATCTTAGTCTTCAGCAACAATATTAGGCGGGAGCGTGCTGAGGATAGCCTAAGTCTATCAACCCATGAATGAAAGCTTTAGGCAAACTAACCCGTCATTTACTTGTCCACTCGCACAGGCAATCTTTAACATGAAACAGAATACTCACAGGGCTCCTTTTCATTAGATGTGAATCTTTATTTCACCGCATTGGATGCTCACATAATAAAGACCGTATATTTTCTGCTTTTACCCAACATACTAAAAAGATGGTCGCTGAAGAGCACCTCCAGTGTCCGCACTTGCAGAATGAAGCTTGGCTGATTTGAGAGGAACAGACAAGAAAAAAATCTGTATGTGACCAGCCAGAGGTCTTCCCGAAAAAACAATAATGTCCTTAGCTTACCCATATTGGCATCAACTCACTAACGTTTCCTCATTACAGCGTGCTGGAAGATTTTAAAAGCATCCTTCGCGCATTTCTGAAATAAAAGAAACAGTTCATATATAGCTGTTGCAAAAACTGCGTTACGAAATAGTTCGCTCAATTCTGAGTGAAATTACGCATTGCGATGTTTCATTAATTCAACAATTAAAGAAATTCATTTACATAGACATACATAAAACGGCTAAAGACATATCATACTGGCATGCTTATTGAACTTCAGGAGGGCTTTCAAGGATGAAAACTGGTTGCGCCCTCGTGTCATTTGCGTTAATAAAGTACGTTATTTTTTCAGGCGCATTTATAGCGTACTTCATGATTGTAGGCGGGCGCGCATGAAAGAATGATTATGAAAAGTGGCTGGCCTGGTGTTGAAAAAACCTTGTCGGCAAACCAGCATGCCGAGTAATTGACTGTGGCTGCACTTGAATTTTGAATTGTGCTGAATCGTATTTCAAATGTAAATGACAGTGCTATTCAAACAAAACGTACACAGCGGCCGGAGAGTCTATTCTGATATAGGGGTATCTGTGCAGGAAGTTTTTCTGGGCACGTGCTTTGGACTAATTCACCTGTATATGCAATTATGAATTTCAGATGTAATGCGAGAGACGCACAACAACGCTGGCGATTTTCAGGTTCGCATAATTGTTTGATCAGGTGGGAGCCGTGGTTCGTGTCAACGAATTCAATGGCACCGTGCGAAGCAAGGACTTCCGATAGGGTCCTAGCTAGCCTAACTTCTGAGTAGATGATGACGTCCTGAATAAGTGAATTCTAGTGTAAGCTAATCATTTCTCTCTTCTTGTGCAGACACCCAAGAAGTGACTGAAATACTGGTTCATATTTTCAGGACAGGTCATTGTTATTAGAAGTCGGAGGCCTAAAACTTACCCGAGTGCTCAATTACATTGTCTTGACAGCTGACAGCAAATAGATTAGAGACACAGAAATTATGATGATAACCAGCGAATTTGTCGTCTGCCGTCAGTCCGCGCGATACGTCTCTTGGCTTCTTTGATGTCTGGTACAAATGATTTATTATCAAGAGGTGAAAGCGTCCAGGGAGAATATCTCGGAGGCATCAACTGCTCAGCCGGTGTAATAGCTGTAAAGTTGCTGCATTTGCACAGCTTGGCCGAATGCAGAATTGCTGTAACAGGTACACGGTACAGAAAATGCTTCTTCCCTTGTTGGAGAGGCTGAGAAGGAGTGCGCATCAGTTTCTTGTGTGGAGATGACATCTAGCGGGAGGCATCCCGTTTCCGCTTCGGCTCCCAATGCTGATGAGCTCTTCGGGAGGCATGGACTGATTCGTATACAAGTGTTTCGTGCGGCTTCTAATGTTTTTTTGTTTGCTGGTGATAACCGGTGAAGCTCCGGTGGGCAGTAACGCAAGGTTTTTTCTATATACAATTTCTCAAGCAGAACCATCAAGTAGCATGCACGTCCCCGTTTTGTTCTTGCCATGGATTTGAAGGGTTTCAATGCCGCAGCTATTATAGTTCGAAGTTTCTTCACCGGAGGAGACCATAAAGCATTGCTGTTGAAGGCTATACCGAGAAATCACTGACACTGTACATAGGTCAGCGGCTAGCCACTGAGGAGCCCTATTGAAAATTCTGGGTTGGTAGATGCTGGTATCGTTGGTGGTTATGGTGGGAATAATAGTGGATATGGTGGAAGCTGTCGTGGTCATAATGGCTGATAACGGCGAGATTTCAGAAAATGGTGGCAGACGGTGGTGGTGGTGGTGGCGAGCCTATCGTGACGACATTGGAAAATGCTGGCTGATGGTGGTGACTAGAACTTGTTTGGTGGAGAGCTTGGTTAACAATCTTGATGACGGTGGCATGATGAAAGCTTGTTGGACGACGGTGGCATGAGGAAAAAGAAGATGACAGTATGTGAAATCACCTAACTATTCGTAGTGTTTCACTCCGGAATGCAGAGACAAATATGCTTACGGTATAAAGAAACCAACAACGTTCATTACGCGTTCTAGCACGTTTTTTTTTTGCTGTGGTGTCAACAACGCTTTAATGTTTGTGGAGCGTAGAATGCCGTGAATGTTTACATTTCGTGTACGTAATATTAGTTGGACATGTGCAATATGGTGGTATGTTGTCATGTTTAGAAGACTAGAAAGTCGCTGTGAACAGCAATAGTAAATGTGTTACATTGCCGCGGAGTTGTCGTGCAATAAAAAAGCTCCAATCCACAATTACCTTCTTTCAACAGTAGACCAGAATACAGCCGCCACTTGATGTCACCACGCTAGAAACGACAGCCTGCCGATTCTTGCAGACCCCATTCTTGAGCCGTACTTTAAAGTTAACAAAGTGCGTGCGACGCTAAAATACATCAACCTCTACCTTTGTCATACATTGAGACGAGTCCCAGGGAGTTTGACTTTCACTCTTCTGTACCATGATTTCCACGAAAAGTTAGGCCTCCCGACTGAGCCCGTACAAGTGTTACCGGCACTTTTGGGTTTCAGAATACATGATTTCAACGAGTAAGACCCACTTACAGCATAGCCGTGGCATTATTTACCCTAAACTGAATCATTTTTGTAGTGTACAGTGTCCGCACAAGAAGCGACAAACATCAATGCAACGCGGTACCAGCCCTTCCTGCAATCATACGCCTGCCGTAACCGACAGCCGCCGTTCAGCCGGCACTTCTCTGGCTTTTATGCGAGAACATAGACTTTTCTATTCACATGCTTACTGAACCAATATGATAGCATATATGTCTTCTGCGCATTGCATTCGTTTTATTATGTAGCTGTACGTAGTTGTAGCTATCGATAGAGCTACAGCAGTGCGCTGTTACGACTGCACTGTATGTGGCGCAAAAAAAATTGCAATACTCAATCAAATATGTGGGCGTATCTATCAAATGAGCCTAGAGGCGTCATAAAGCCTGAGCAGATGTCGCCTTTTAGTACGAGCGCGAAACGGATAATAAACTTGACAGTAACCGCCGCTAAACTGTACCTGATCATCAGTTCAGTTGGTTTTCTTTTGTGTGGTTGCGAATTTTAAGAGAAAAACATAGCGCTGTTGCCATTATCGCAGTGTAATTTGTTCTAGGCAGCAGTTGTTTGTGTTAAATAAATGTGCCAGTTTTAGTAGCAGGCGTAGATCTCCTGGAGTAAGCAACAAAAAAAAAACTGAAGTTGAACGGCCAATCAGAAAGTTCACTGGCGATTTAAAAGCAAACTCGTACAAGTCGCTAAAGCGCAGTG